TGGGCTAGGCCTGACAGTCTCAATTATAACCTGTGTCTGTATAACCACCCTGCCTTCCTCCCCCTTCCCCTCCCCACCTTGCCCCAGGTTAAATCCTACATCAGTCAAGCCACTCCATATAACTGATGAATGGAACCGCAGCTCACAAAAGCTTCTGCCTTTTAATAAAATCTGCTAGTTGGAAAAGGTGCTACCAGACTCCTCCTGATTTTGGGCTGTTGTAGACTAACACAGCTTCCTCCTAGGTTGGGTACGTCAGGAGAAACAGAAAAGCAAGTTGAAAGCTGGGAGAAAGGGCTCCTGAAGAAATGTGAGGGGTAAAACAAGAAGACAGCGGATCAAGAGGGATCGGCAGTTGAAGAAATGGGGACTGAGTAGAAAATGAGTGACCGGTTTGAAAGAGGTACGAAAAAAGGGTTTAGAGGGAATGAATGAGGACTGAATCGCAAAACAAATTTATGAAGGAAAGTGGAATGAGTTGAGAGGAAGAGGAAGAGGAAGAGGAACACCAAGAGAGTTCTGGTTGGATGTAGTTGGTTAAATCTGAATCAAGAGGGCAGTATGAATTGGTGTATGGAGGTGGTGAAAGCAAGATGGTTTGCAAGGTTGGAAATACATGGACAGCAATAGTCAGTGTTGGCAGGACCATTCAGGGGGTCAAAAAAGTCAAAATGACAGTTGTGGTACTTCGACTGCAAGCTTACCCTTTTGGTAAGCGTGTTGAGGTCACACAGACATACAAAACGGTGGGGATTCGATCGAATTTTCGTGACCGCCCGTTTGACTCCTCCCGCAGATATTGCAAAGGCTTGGTGTAAACTAGATTTAGTTCTTCCCTTTTCTTATCTCAGCCTTTAATTTCTGTGTTTTAATTTCTTTCATTTCATGATTTCTTCCACTTTTCCCACCCTCTGCATAACTTCACTTATCCTGAAAGGGTAACGTAGGATGGGTATGTATTTATTTAGGTACTATATGGTAAGAAAAATTGTCCAGGGTAACTTAAAAAGTGGAATGCCAGCTTTGAAAATAAATGAAGAAAACCAGCAACTAAAAATTGACACACGCAATGAGTAAAAGAGTAATAAAATTGCAGGACTAAAATGTATTCAGAAACTCAACTGCAGAGTTCTTAAAGAAGTGTTTCTCAACCTTGGCAACTTTAAGCTGTGTGGACTTCAACTCCCAGAATGGGAGGCTGGCTGGGGGATTCTGGGAGTTGAAGTCCACACAGCTTAAAGTTGCCAAGGTTGAGAAACACTGTCTTAAAGTATTAGAAGGCCTAGATGATTAAATGAGAATTGAATAATGAACATCACACGTATGACCTTATTATTATTATACACAATTTCAGAAGATTGCAAGGAAGACAGTGAAAAGATCTTTTGAACTGGAGTTTATCTTTCCTTTTTACCGATTGATCTTTCAATCGTTTCAGTTCTGTTGGTGCTCCGGTTCTGCTTTCACGCCCATAGATGCAAATACTCTCACCCAGCAAATATATTTCTTCATATTATCAAAGGAACAGTAGGTCACGGCCTTTTCTACAACCTGATGAGGCTTTCCCAGAAAAGGAACTGAATTGCTCATTCCCATCCTGAAATTCCGGAAAAGTTTACTTTTTTTAGGTCAGAGGTGTTTAATGTGCCGCCTCGGTCATTAAAATACAGTATTTGCAACATCTTCTCTTTCACCATTGAGACCTGCTGAAAAATAATGCTGTTTCTTAAAATTTATTTATTTTTTATTATTGAGAAGAAGGGAAAAAACACATAGAAAGTGCTTTAACAAAGAAGTGAAAGAAAAAAAATGTTAAGATGTCATTATAACAGTAAAGAATTACAATTCTATGTATACTTATGTAATGCAAATATTATTCAAGTACGTATTTATTTCTAATACATTTATACGACTATCGTTTTTTTAACCTACTGTATTTTGTATAAATGAGTCCCATATTTCATTGTATTTATCCATACAAAGTCTACGTCTATTGGCAATCCGCTCGTAAGTGGCAAGCGCAATCAGGTCTTCAATCCATTGAGTGAATGGGGCCATGCATTTATCTTTCCAATGCTTCAATATCAGTCTTTTGGCCATAGTAAGGGCACAAAAAATCCATTTATGGTGTCCAGTTGTTAAATTCCATGTACTAGGTATGTAATTCAAGAGAATATTATCCTCTGAAAATGTTAGCTTTTGTCACACAAAAATAATCTGCTAATTAATGTTTGCAAGGCAACCGTTGACTTATATTCTAAATGAACCCTTCATAAAATAAGTGTAGTGCAGTTCCTGGACATGGCTTTGTTTATCTTAAATTCATTCCATCTGGAAGTGACTGAAGATGGGTGAAGGTGAATGATCTGAAAGTTGGTGCTTTGAAATCAGATCCCAAAGAGCTGTTGGCATGTTAGTTTTGTTTAAAATTCCCCTCCTCTAAAATTGGAGAAATGGACTTGGCAAAGAAAATTTGCATTAAGGAAAATGTTCCTGAGCTGGTCAAATTTAGCAACAGTTATCCACCATCTTGGTCCTATCCCGTCTTGACTATTGCAAGATGCTGTACGTAGGGTTACTCTTAAATATATGTAGAAACTATACTTGGTGCAAAATATGGCTGCTGCCTAGTGCAAGGTTCAAGGATTGCACGATGTTTGTGCCCCTGCTCTGAAAGCCTACTGTTAGCTGTTTGCTTATAAGGCAGAAATGTAAAGTATTGGAGTTAACTTTCAAGGTCCTAGGTGGCTTAGAACCATCTGTGCATCTGAAGGACCAAACCTCTCATTATGAACCTTTTCAGCAGATGGGGCTTTAAGATCTTCAGGAGAGGCCATTCAGCATTTCTTCTCCAGTCTCAAAGACCTATTTATCTGGCTGCCCAAAGGATGACTTGAACATCTTTCAAATGATGGAATATGTTTCCATGTTCTCTTTGTCTTTAGAAGAGCAATCAAGGGACATCCATCTAGACAGGCCTTGAAAATGGCAGTGCTTGTATTTATCTTTTAATTTTCCCATTGTTACACTGTTGGCCTTGTGTCTTTGGATTAATTTTCTTGGCAACATTTTTCAGAAGTTGCTGGCCATTGCCTTCTTCCTACGGCTGAGAGAGAGAGCAATTAGCCCAAAGTCATCCAGCTGGCTTGCGCCTAGGACTAAAACTCACAGTCTTCCGGTTTCTAATTTTCTAATTTCTAATCTTTAACCACTACCTCAAGCTGGCTTTTTTAAAAACTCTGTATTTACTTTTTATTTTTAATTCACTAAATTAGTAGCTCCCATCACTACATGTAATGACAATGAATTTCACCACCGGTGTGTTGCGTGAAGAAATTCTTCCAGCTGTTGAACTTGAGTTTGCTCACATTTCTTTTCATCGTCAACTCTAATACTCCTTTCTGCACAATTTTAGTAGGTTAGAGACTCTGCCGGATTTCCACAGCCTGCCCAGAACTGGTTGCAGAACAAATATATCCAATGCAGAACAAATAGGTCAATGTAGAACAAATTATTTTAACTGTGCCAACTGTCTTGGATTGCCCAAGCTGGATGTTTTACAGAGATGGTTACTGGACCTAGGAATTCTATCCTGGAAAATTTCAAGCCAGGACTCAGTGGGAAAAGTTGAGTATTCTCCAGTCTCAACACAATCTAAATAACAATGATGTGTCTTGCGGTGGAGAGATAAACAGGGCTCCGTGGAAAGGAATCTGAGGTGGTGGTGGAATCCTTCCTATTGTTGCTACCAGTATGGTCGGCCATGTTTCTTTTCTTTTCTGCTCATCACCTCACAAAGGTTGCTAGGCTCAAAACACAAGAGCGCGCTGGAGACTGCTCCCACTCTGAACGTCTCAGCCCAACACCTGGCTGTTCCCATCTCTTCAGACATAGCCAACCAGCCTTTCCTGGTTGCCTGCCCTTTGAAGGCAAATTCTGACCCCAAACTCCACTTGCGTCCTGCTCCCCTAGCGACAAAGAAGAGCTGGACAAAAATCTGGATTGCATTCCAGAGCGTGGTAGCCAGATAAGCTAGCTGACAGTTACTGAGCAAGCGGGAATGTACAGAGTTTATACCAAGTCTGAGCAAAAATCCTTTGGGCTCCCTTGCTGCCCTCTTGGAAGAGGAGACTTGAATGTCCTCTGATCTCCAGCCCTTGTAGTGTCTGTTGATGATGGAAGTTTGTTTACATTCTCTGCATTCCTCTTCTTCTGGTCTGGTAAGTCCACAAAGTGAGGCTGGAACCTTCCAGCGACCAAGGGAGGAATGGCACCTTTTCTGCCCTATAAGCGCAGGGGGGAGATAACCAAGGGGGGAGGAGGACAGCACGACAGAGGTAGATCCAGGAGTTACCCAAGGGAAAAGCCCAGATCAGACAATGGCATTGCTGAGGGAACAGGATTGGTCACAACCTTGGGCAAAGGCCATTGACCTGGAGCCACTAGCAAGCAACCAGAACTATCTTTCCCTGTTTGCTTCCTCATCAGAGCCATTGATTATCAATTTTGATTTTTACATTTTTAATGTATTTATTGACTGTTCTTAGCTTTATTTTATGCTGCCCAGAGTGGCCTGTGGTGAGATGGGTGTCTATATATATTGGTTTAATAAATAAAATAATAAATACATTTCTTCTCATCCAGGGGCCACTGCCCTTTCATTCTGGACCAGAAATAGGATCTTAAGTGCAATAAGGATGAAGTCCAGGAGAAGGCATCCAGGCCAGATCATAAAAGAGGTAACGTTTGACTGTGATGATACCTTCTACCAGGTGACCTTGAAAAATACGGCCCCTTGTTTTCCTCAGAATTACAGTACTTTCTTCAAAATACCTCGTTTCTTCCCCACTCATTAGCATTGCTTTGCAAAGCTTCTCTCCTGCTTGCAATTAGGCTGCAATTGAACAGACCCAGTTCCCCCATCTAGAGAAGATCTGTCCTAGAGATCATTTATTTTCCATTTGCAACTTGACTACAGTTCAGGAACAGGCATAATTCAGTCTTGCTTTTTATCAATAGCTGTCATGTAGCAATATTTTTTAATATGGTGAAGCTGGTCTAAATTTATTCCACATTGAGAACAGGTCCCTGTACCACATACAATCATATAATTGTCAAAATTTAAGATTTCTGTACCGTGCAGCCATGCTGGTTATGTGGCTAGCAGGTTGGATAAAATGAAAGTTGAACTTAAGAGGCTAGTCCAGATTTTCCATTAACATATGGCTCTTAAGCTAAACCAAGAGCTCTTAAGTGAATGGAACCTCTCCTCATTTACAGTTATATGTGCAAAAAACCCTAAAGCAAAATTTGACAATGCTGAATATAAGGAAATATATTTATTTCAGGATTATTTATTATTAATTGCTGGAAATGGTGTATATCTATCTGTAAATCTATATCAAATAATGTATTTGTTTTTAAATAATGAAAATTAGAAAGCAAATAAACATTAGAATTGTCAGAAATCAGAAGTTCCTACAACCCATTGATACCACAAAGACTACCTGTGTTTTTCACCGAGCTTTCAATTAAATTCCTTTTAAAAAAGGAATTCTCTTTTTAAAGAGAAACAAAAAGAAATATACTCATAGACTACAGTGACCATATATCCTTCATTATAAAGGACAATCCTTTATTTCAGAAAGCTGCCTTTTAGATTTATTTATTTTTCAAAAACTCACTTTTGTCCTTTATTCTGGTCATTTGACTTTTACCCTGCCGACGGTACCACTGAATGCACAGGCTTTCACATTCATGGGAAAAATGTGGGAATGGAATTATCTTTTTAAAATAAATTGAGATATACGGTTTGATGTTTGAGACTTTTATGAGAATATGGGTTTCTGTAAAGCTTTTCTTGGTTTTGCGCTCAAATTTTCCTTTGGAAAGCAAAGTTATAAACATAAACAATTATTATTTTTTTTTTATCCTTAGGAACCTCTTTCAGATTTGCCCCCTTTTCAGGTTTGTCCTTTGTTTTTTCCAAGAAAATATGGTCCCCGTGTCATAGAAATGTAAAAATCAGCCTTCTTATTGTCAGCCCAACAAGAGAGAGTTTTAATATTACCTAAAACCAAGTATTACAGAATTCTGGCCATTATGGGGGGGGGTCCTTTTCACTGAGTCCAGACGATGATTTGGAGGTCTACCTTCAGTTCCCCAATCTTGAAGGCCTTACTGTATCCTTTTAGGGCTTGAGAAATACATTGAACCTGGACTGGGGGTAGAGGAGCAAAACCTATGTTTGCACACAGCGTTCTGCCTGGTGTATTGCTCAAGCCATGTCCCTATTTCTGACCTTGGCATGTGGCCTAGTACAACATACAACCGAGTTCACACACACATACACGGACATGCACACACATGCATGCGGGCTTCTGAGCTGTGCAAACAGCCGGCGAGCCAAAGTGATAACCACAGGGAGTAGAGAGGAATGTGTGTGTGGGTGTGTGTGGGTGGGTGAGTGAGTGAGTGAGTGAGTGAGTGTCCTTGTGTTTGCAGGCAGTGAGTATAAAAGGGCGGACTGATTAGCAGAGGACCGAGCAGGAGAGGTGGAAGCCATCCATCGCCTCTGCCCACCAGCTTTGACTCCTCTACTGCCTGTCCTCTCGGCACTATGGGGAAGAACCAGATCCTTGCAGGGCCCTGCCTTCTTCTCCTGGGGTTGTTCCTCCTTCCTGGAGAGACCTTAGCCTCTACCGCACAACCGTAAGCAGTTTCTCCATCATTTCTTCGTTTTCCCCCCCATGTCGATTATTTCCTTATTTTTTCTTAGATCACTAACCCACCTTTCTGGCTGCAGCTCCAGGCAGCATGCACAGCTCTCCTTCTTCCTATTCTGTCCTCCCAACAACCCTGGAAGGGAGGCTGGGCTAAGGGGTAGCAACCGGGTGCCCGGCGTGCTTTGGCGGCCAAGGGTGGTTTTGAACCCGGGTCTCTTCACTCTTGACACCAATATTTTCATCACTACACCATCCTGACTTTTTTGCAAAACTGACAAAGATGGAATAAATGATTAGCCACTTTGGGATAGCGGTTAAGGCACCAGGCTTGAAACCGAGAGATGGTGAATTCTAGTCCTGCCCGAGGCACGAAGATAGCTGGGTGATCTTGGGCCAGTCCCTCTCTCTCAGCCCTAGGAAAGAGTCAATGGCAAACCATGTCTGAAATCTTGCCAAGAAAAGTGCAGGGATTTGGCCAGGCATTTGCCAGGAGTCAAGACTGATCAGAAGGCACAGAGTTATTATTTTATGATGCCACGGGATCCTTTCTTCTTTTTCATCTGGCTTCTCTACTTTGCTTTGCACAGCTTCCCTGAGAGTCAGTTGACGCCAGCTGATACCAAAGCATTGAATTTTCCCTGCCAAAATGATGATGATTTCCAGTCTGAACCTAGGAGTTGGCAGGGGGCGGGGTATGTAGGGTGGTGTAAATAGAGAATTAGGCAATTTCACAGAAGAAGAGGCTTCATCCAGTGGCCATCAACTCATTTCTTTTATAGATTTCTTTCCCTCTATTTCTCCAGGAACTCAGGAAGGTATATTTAGCAATTGCCAATTCCACCCCACCCCCTGCCAGAACAACACTTTGAGGTAGATTAGACCATGACACTGTGGCTACATTTGCATGGCATGCTTAACTAAATTGGGCGTTTGCATACCATGCTAGCCTTTATTAGAGTTAATCTTGCTTCATCGTTTTTTGGATTAGCTTGTGCTGCAACTCCAGCAAATGGCTTATTGCAGTACAGGTAGTCCTTTTTTAGCAACAGCCTCATTTAGCGACCGTTCGCAGTTACGACAGTGATGAAAAAGTAACTTTGCAACCAGTCCTCACATTTACAACCTTTGCAGGTCTGTAAAGCCAAGGAAAGCTGAAGTTAGATTGTTGAATTGTGATGTCTCCCTTAGCGACTGCTTTGCTTAACGACCAAGTTGCCAGTCCCAATTGTGGTCACTAAACGAGGACGACCTGTAGCCACATTCCATGTACAGGGGAAGCTCAGCCAGTGGCTAGTCCACAGTCACTCGGGGAGCTCACCTAAACCTGGGATCTGTGATGTTGGCAGACGTAGAGGAGATTGCACCCTATGTCTAGGGTGCTGTTGTCCCACTTGTGGGCTTCTTCCCCAAAATATTTGGTCAGCTATTGACAAATGCTGTTTAGAGAGATATTTGGTTCACCCCTGTGGGGCTCTTCTGAAGTGTGAGACACCTTCAGAAAAGGGTTTCTGCAGCTGGGGATGGTCCCCAAAGTCAATGATGGGTCAGGCCAGCAATCCTTGCTTGGAAGGGAATCTGCAGTCCTGGTGGGGAGGCTAAGCTAAGCTTTTAACTCTTTTATCAGAGGAAATTGGCTGCCTGAGTACCCATCCCATTTATTCCTTTAGGTTGGTATTTCTCAATCTCAGCAACATTAAGATGAGTGGACTTCAACTCCCAGAAATCCCCAGCCAGCTTGCTGGCTGGGGATTTCTGGGAGTTGAAGTCCACACATCTTAAAATTGTCGAGGTTGAGAAACACTGCTTTAGGTCTTTGGTTTTGTTTTCAGTACAAAAACGAATCTTGTGCCCCCCACCCAAAGAATAACTGATTTGTGGCCACAAAAGCTTTTGTGGATCGTAGTCCACTAATGTGGACTGCGTGGAACATAAATCATGAGAAAAGTGTATTGGGTACGCTACACTTTGCACTGATTATCTAGTTTACATGTAGTGTGATTAAAAAAAACTCTTATGTTTAATCCAGGAGAAAAGGTGAGAAATCTCCAGGTTAATTTTAGTTCAACTCTTCCACAAAGAAATCAGTTTTTGCAATTCCTGTTCTGGGATGGGAGCGCTGAAATGTTCCCCCAACTGGTTTTGCAAGTTTTATTTCCTATATCACATGGAGGCTGGGAAACAAATCTCTGAAGAAAGCTAGAAGGGGATGGCTGTAGAACAATGAAGAGATGACACATCGAGCATTTTCCAACATTTGAAGGGCTGTTACTTAAGAGGAGGAAGCCCATTCACTTTTTCTGCACTAACAGCTAGGACTCACACAAGTTCAGATGATAGGAAAGGGGATTTCAACTGAGCCCTCAAAATGACTTCACAACCATCAGAGCAGAACACTCATGTTGGACAGTCCTGGGCACCCTGAAGTGTTTCTAGCAGAGCTGGACTGATCTTAGATTATTTTAGTGAGTTTCCTGCACCAACAGGGTGACAGGTTATATTAGCTTTTAAGTCTTGGTCAATATGATTTGATGAAAAGTGCGATGGACAGTCTTACGCTGAACAAAATCTCCTCTTTTAATATGGATCACTTCTTCAGGGGCAAGTACACGATTATCTGCCAATTATTGACCTTCAACCACTGAAAACTTCCTTCCTTCCTTCCTTCCTTCCTTCCTTCCTTCCTTCCTTCCTTCCTTCCTT